GAGGTTGCAGTGAGCCAAGATCGTGCCACTGCATTCCAGCCTGGGCGACAGAGTGAGAATCCACCTCAAAAAAAAAAAAAAGTTTCAGGAGTAGAATCATTGGGTCAAATTACCCTGGCTTTAAGTTCTGGTTCAGAGAATTTTAACAACTTACATTGTCACCAGCAAGGTCTTTGACTATATGAGCAACTCTCACCTTAAAGTATTTCTCATCTGACATTAGCTGCCCGGCTTTCCGCGGATACGTTGACTCCAGGAGGCTCCTTGAGTTCTGTGTATTTGGCTGGCCTCCGGTGGCCCCATTACTATTTTCTGCCAGGTAAATGTCAGTTACCTGCACACAGATCTCATCACTCATGATATGCTGCAGCTTGAATCAAAGGCAAGCTATTAGTGAAGACAGAAAACATTTCTCCACTACACAGTCAATGTTTCTTTAACTGATCCAGTCACTCCACTCAAAAAAGGTTTTGGGGTTTTTTTGGCTGGCAATTTTAGAAAATTAATCACACAAACCACTGTATCATTTTCTCGGAGAATAAATCAAGTCAAGATTTTCAACCATATCAGTGGTCCATTGTAAAACTTTCATATCTATTTAAAATAAAAATCATAGAGAACTCAGGTTAATGTGCTGTTTAAAATTCCAAGGCTCTTTAAATAATTTTCCATGGGTAATATTTTTATTGCATTTTAAATGTAATAATTTGCTTTTACAACAATTAAATTAAATGCAACAATTTGCTTTTACAAATATTCTCTCTCATTTGATCCTCACAACTACCCTGGGAAGCAGGTTGGAGAGAGAGTTGGGCCTGTTAGGAGAGAGATTTACACAATGCATAAGAAAGCTCACTGTGAGCCAGGGCAAGGAGGGGAGCCTTGGAGAATCATGAATGCAATATCTATGTCTATATTCCCAGACCAACAGCAAAGCCTGAAACTCATTAGGTATTTAAGAAATAGCTGCTGAGTTATTGCCTAGGGGTGCTCAGCTGAAGAAGCAGGGTTGGGACTAACAGTCAAGCTTCCTGACTCCTAGCCCAATACTTCTCCAAACACACCACTTATTTTTCTGTATCTGATAGAAAGTAAAGTGCTTAAGTTGTACATAATGTTAACTCACTTTCCATACAGGCCAACCATGATTGACTATCAGTAACTTTTGTGACAATCTTAGGAAACTAATTACTAGAAAGTTGAACCTTTCAGAGTTCTCATTCTCATGTCATATGCTATTTCTATTGTGAAATAAAAATCCTTCCAAATGAAACTTTACCCATCAAAATGACAGAGAAGTGAAAAATAGATACAAGAAGAAAGCAAAATGTTTATTTCAATATCGATTTGACTATTTTGCTGTAAAATTATCATAACCACCAAGCCATTCTATTTTTAGGAAGATACATTCTTTTTGAAGTGTTAGGAACTATGATAACTATTTATTTATTTATTTTTGAGACAGAGTCTTGCTCTGTCGCCCAGGCTGGAGTGCAGTGGCGCGATCTCGGCTCACTGCAAGCTCCGCCTCCCGGGTTCATGCCATTCTCCTGCCTCGGCCTCCTGAGTAGCTGGAATAACTATTTATTCTTAACTTTAAGTCCTAAATGATCAGTATGTATATTAGTAGATAACTGGACACAGAGCAAGGTCAGAAGGGTGACTGAGTGTGGCAGAAAGGGCAGTATCTCCAGTATTATCTGGACAATGAGTCCAGATAATGGATTCTGATACAACCATTCAAATAATGCTTATGAGTACTTGATAGCAGGGAAAAGCTTAAAATACAGTATTTTAGAGAGAAAAAAGGCAAGTTGGAAAAAAATATATGGAAAGCATGACTTCAGTCATGCATAGAGATGCTTCTACTTTAAACCCTTTTTTTTTTTTT